GGTGATACGAATGGACAAGTAGTAGCTGGTGGCAATGGCTACGGAAATCGATCGGATCAATTGCATTACCCAACCGATGTGTTGATCGACAAAGAGACAGATAGTCTCATTATTTGTGATTGGAAGAATCGACGAGTCATACGATGGTCTCGTCGTAGTGGCACAATTCAAGGAGAAATCCTCATCGACAACATCTCGTGTTGGGGATTGGCCATGGATGATCAGAGATATCTCTACATCTCTGACACCGACAAACATGAAGTAAGACGATATCAAATAGGAGACAAGAATGGAACTCTAGTGGCTGGTGGCAATGGCAAAGGTGCTAGTCTCAATCAACTCAACGACCCGACCTGCATATTTGTCGATCAACAACAGACTGTCTACGTGTCAGACCAGTACAATAATCGTGTAATGAAATGGAATAAAGGTGCAAAAGAAGGAATTGTTGTCGCTGGAGGTCAAGGCAAAGGGAATGCTCTGACACAGTTGTATTATCCTAAAGGAATGTTCGTCGATACGTTGGGTACCATCTATGTGGCAGACACATCGAATGGTCGAGTGTTGCGTTGGCCTAAAGGAGCGAAACAGGGCACTGCCATTATGGGTGGAAATGGCGAAGGAAAAGGAAAAAATCAGTTCAACGGTCCCATCGGTTTGTCCTTCGATCTACACGGCAATCTCTATGTCGCCGATCAGCGGAATAATCGTGTTCAACGATTTTCAATCGAATAGACTCGTCGTGATAGATTCTTTTGCGTTTCTTTCGTTTCAAATAAATCCCATTGAATTGATGAAATGAATGGCTTATTCTATTCGCACGCGCGACCAGGAACCATCCTGGTGGAGCCGTGGCGAGCGTAACGCTCATGCACGTACAGGACAGACTAGGGGTGGGACTTTACCTTTACTTTACTAGTAAATAGTAAATAAAATATTTACTATTTACTAAAGTAAAGTAAATAAAGTATTTACTATTTACTAAAGTAAAGTAAATAAAGTATTTACTATTTACTAAAGTAAAGTAAATAAGCCATTTGTTATTTACTATTTTCTATTTATTAAAGTAAAGTAACTAAAGTATTTATTCCCTCGACTGTAGGGAGGGTCATATGAAATAGAATGCGGTTGTATGTGTCAGGGTCTAAAGAACATCAGGGTCAAAAAAACATCGTCTGAAAGAATATAAATCGAGGTCGAAGAATCCGAGTCTCAAGTGAGTTTTTCAAAATTTTCAATTGAGTTTTTAGGGTCAAAAGAAGGTTTTTTGGAGATAATAACGATATTTTATTCTCTTTCTCGTAGAGAAGAGTCTAGCAAGAATAAATTGTTTGCTTGCTTGCTGACTTGTGTGTCCGCACTTCACTGATTGTTCCAAGAATAATGTGAAAACAAAAGGGATTATCTTCCTTAAAACTTGACCAAAGGTAATCGAGGGTGGGAGTTCAAATTTGAGGTTAGCTTGAATTAATTATTAACTAATTATTGATTAATTATTAACTGATTATTAATTATTAACATTTTCTAAAAACTTGACTAAAGGTTACTGGAGTGGGAATCTGAATTCGAGGTTAGTTTTTATTAATCAATTATTTACTAGTTAATAATAATCAATAATTTCCACAAAGCTTGACCAAAGGTAATTGAGGGTGGGCAATCTGAAACCGAGCTCAGTTTCTATTAATTATTTGTTAATTAGGTCTCACAAGTCAGACCTTCCACTGTTCAGAAAGCTGAACTCAAATGTCTAGATGAACTTGACAGAAAAACAGAGCGAAAATGTGCTTATTTCACTTTTTGAAATGGTACAGATAAATAATTTGCTGAGAGTTCAGAAACAGCATTTCTACGAGAAAGAGCTGAGCGAGTCGGCAGACGAGCGTTACTTGTAAAGGTTAACGAAAGTAAATCGAGGTCGGAGAATCCAAATCTGAAATCAATTTCTCAAAAACTCAAATAGTTATTTGTATGAAAAAATCATACTTTTCTCTCTTAATTATTGTTTAAGGAAAAAGCGAATTCTTTTGAACAAGTCATTTGAAAAAAGGGAAACTCGAAATATGGGAAATCCTTCTGGGTATTTGGAATCTGCGACTGCTTTGTAGTTTTGGTACCCTCTTCAAAGTATCGTTGTAGACGTGGGCCGGAGTGTCGCCTAATGGGGCGGGTGCTTCAGTAAGCCGTAGTGTGATGAGACAGTGTTTACACATCAATGTCACGGAGTCTGCGGTGCACGACATTCAGCGATTCTTCTTTATTGACAGTGATCTCTGAGTTAAATAGCTTTTTTTGCACACCCTACTTAAGTCGAAAGAAGTAGCATAAAATGAATTTTGTAAGTGAAGTTACAGGCTGTAGAGTAAATGCAGAATAACCAATGATTATTTTAATGTATTCAAATAATGCAGCAAGTGACTTTGAGCAGTGCCTGAGAGGGGTGTTAGTGAAGGACTGGCCGCTAATATTGCAAACGTATTCTAATGTTGTGTAACAAAAAATCTACGTGAAACCTACATTTATCAAAAATAGCCAACTAAGATATTCTAAATCAGGAGCCGTAATAAAGCTCTAAACTATTGGCTAAACAATGAGGTTGAAGAAATTAGGAATAAATAATGGGGAAGTATTGGTTCGGAGCAACTCATCTGGAGCCATCGCGTTATAAATCTAATAGTTTTTCTGAGTAAGAGCAACCTGGCATTTGATAGAGTTTAAGTGAAAGGAATTATCTCACGGGCGAATAAGATCACAGGTGGCAGCTGCTGTACTGGTTTATCTCCAGATGTGCAGCTTCAAAGTGTTAGCATTCATTGAATGCACGACACTAGTCGAGGTCTAATGGGTCTGAATAAGGAAGATCAGATGTAAAAAGCTGCAAAAACTATGCCAAGTCAAGGATAAGAAACGGTTTTTGTGTTTGGACACAATATCTGAATAATTCATCAAATGGAAAACATTACTGGAAGAATTTAGAGTGTAGGTGTGAGTGTGAGTGCGGGCACAAAATCCCTTTACATCCACACCCACACCTACATCCAAAGCCACACTTACATCCACACTCACCCATACTCACATCTACGCCCACACCCACACTCACATCCACATTCACACCTTCTAGTTTCCCTTTTTGCAAATAACTTTTTCTCAAAAGAGTTGGCTTTTCCTTAGACAATAATTCAGAGAGAAAAGCATGATTTTTTCATACAAATAATTATGTGAATTTTCGAAAAGCTGACTTCAGATTCGGATTCTCCGACCTCGATTTACTTTCGTTAACCTTTATAAAGTATCCTTATTTTCTCGAAGAACCCTTTCCTTGACCCAAAAAAATGAAAAAAATCTAATTGGTGGGAAGCGCCATATCAAAAACTTCTTTAATGCGATGTTTTTTTTGAGCTTTGAGCTTTGACCCGATGACAAGTAAACAAACTATTTTTATATGACCCTCCCTTCAATTGACGGAACTTTTATTTACTAGTAAATATATTTACTTTACTTCAGTAAATAGTAAATACTTTATTTACTTTTTCAAAGAGTAAAGTAAATACCTCACACCCACACCCACATCCCTAATTTTTGAGCTTTTTTTGCTTAAAAATTCCACAGTGACGGTACTCAAAAGGCTTGATATTTTTATAGGAAGTGAGGATAGATGTTAAGGAGTATTTTAAAAAAAAATATTCAAATCCGTTGAATAGAATTCGAGATATAATCGTTTTCGTGTCCGGAATCTCTATGATACAATACGAGCACAATTCATCCATACATTCAAAACTTATATGCAAATAAATTTTACTTACAGTAGTGGCCAAAAGTCCCGACCCTAGAGGATCTCAGCCATTATAAGTGCTGGATGTCTGAAAATTTGTATGCGCATACTCCGTCAAGAATGCAGGTCAGAGACACAATTCTGCCTCGATTGCTTCAGTATAAAGAGAATTATGATAGATGGTATCTATTTTTGTATTGAGATTTTTAACCTGAAAAAGGACTGTCCACTCAATTTTACACTATTTTTTTACCAAATACATAACTAAATTTTGATATTATTGCATGGAATTGGAGCTCAGTCTATGATCTTTCTTAAACCAAAATATGAGTTCATTTGTTCGAATATTGGCGTTTCTGCATGTCTCTGCATCCTCAGATTCACCAATGCGATGGTAATAGCCATGCTATTTTCCATCAGTACACAGTTCATTTATGAAACTTATGGACACTAATGTGCAACTACAGGAGACGCTTTTGCAAGAATTTGAGCTTCATCCGCTAAATTGTTACTGAGTTACCGTCTTAAAATGATACCAGAGGATTTTTTTCCATATCATCGGTCATAGTAAATTGGCCATAATTCTAAAGAAAATTGACAAACTGCAATAAAATTAGTTGTGTGGATAGCTGAAACACAGCGCTACACAATGAACCATTAGCTGACCTACGAAGTCCAGCTTTTCCAGAGTTATGAAGTTCAAAGGCGAAATATGTGTCATCCATTGTCATCCATCATAATTCTCTTTATACTGAAGCAATCGAGGCAGAATTGTGTCTCTGACCTACATTCTTGACGGAGTATGCGCACACAAATTTTCAGACATCCAGCACTTATAATGGCTGAGATCCTCTAGGGTCGGGACTTTTGGCCACTACTGTACATCGTCAGATTTTGAATGATATCCGTCCTTGTTTTAACTTTTATAGTAATGCAAATTAATTCTGTAATTATATATTTGTGTAGGTTTATGAATGCATGACAAAAAGTATATATCATAATGTATTTAATCATTACATTCATATAAGAATTTATATTACTTCGAGAATAATCTATGCACGTCAATAGTTGAATATGGTTAATTTTTATGATAGCTTGAGGATTAATTTCTTTTCACTACTTTTTTAATTTTTGTATAATTATGAAGACAGGAAGTAATTATAAAAAAAAAAGATATTCTTTCTTAAGGAATATGCTTGATATTTCCTTTCTATTGTTTTATCTTCAGAATTTCTTAACATACGTACTCAAAATTATTTTTAGACACAATAATTAATGTCGGATTTTTTTAAAATGCCATCCACCATTTTTTGAATAACTCTTCAGCATTGATAGCTATCGACTTCAGATTTTAGCCATTCAATAGAGCGGCGAGGGGTGCGTCTATCTATATGAGATTCACTAAGACCAAAGAAGTTTTTTATGGTAAAGATTTAATTGATATATTTTTCGTTACCAATTTTCATAGATACCTAGGCTTAAATTACATCAAAATATAGCTTGGAGGGTCCTGAATTTTAGTCAAAATATCAAAATTTTAACGAATTCTCGTACTCAAGACAATGACACAAAGAGCTGGAAATTTTATCACAGATACAGTACCGTCCAGGCTAGATTTTGCTGTAAGGGTGTGGGTGTGGGTCTGTGTGTTGGTTTTACATAAATGCACACCCACATCTACACTCCCAAAACAATACAATTTCCATCAACACTAAAATGATAAAAAGAAAGCAATGATGATTAAAGAAAAATTAAGCGATAAAAGTAGTAATCATTTTTTATGAGTTATCGAGCAATAATAATAAAGAGCAATGATAATGTAGCACCTCTATTCACAACATACTACTGTCTTGTTTTTCTGTGATAAGTTCTTTGATTATTCTTATTACCATCAGTCCTAACTCGAAAACTGCCAAAGGTACGCTTGACGATTCCACATCGTCGGTAACTGCTGACTGTCATCTTCAGTACGATTAGCATATTGATTTAAAGTGGACTTTTGTCTTTGAAGAGAAGTAACATTATTAATAATAGCAAAATCGTGCATATGTTCTCTAGATTCTTGTCTATTTGAGTGAGAAGTTGAATTTTCTGCATTATTGTGAGAAGAGACAGATTGACGGGTACTATCTGTTCGATATTTATCACCAGCGTTTCGCCTACACTTACGAATTAACGAAGTTATGCATGGTAAAATCAATATTTCAACTATAACAAAAATAAGCACAAACATTCCAATAATCATTGTTATATAAAGGAAATCATGATAAATTATTTCTGGTAATCTAGCAATTGGTGATTGTTCATTTAGTATATAATAGAGTGTTTCACTGATGGTCAGTGTCAAATTTGTTGACGTCTTAGGTGGTGCATTCAAATAATCAGTATTTGTCATGAATGATTCATGGTAGTTCACCAAAAATGAACCAATCCAAATACCACTCAGTATCTCATCATCACTGCTTACGAGTGGATTTGTATTATTGATTACTTTTGTCAGTTGAAGGGTGATACGGACGTCTTGCCCAAGTATACTTCCACTTTGATTGAATGTTTGTGAAAAACCTAAATCTCGAAGGATTGCTGTAGAAGATTTATTTTTACCGGGAGCGCTCAGACCTATACGAACTCCACCAATTTTATAGGTGTTTGGTAAAGTAAATTGTACAGTAATTAATCTAAACGGCAAGCGAGCATTATAGGAAACTATGTAGTTCGATGAATTACAGGAGGGATTCGGCGACACTGGCAACCACGTTGTACCTAAGAGATAGGTCAATGTAGCTACATTCGATGTACAATTGTAAACTGTATTGAGAAAAGAGACGTTCAGATTGACTTCTTGGTCATTTAACAAGGCCATCATGCCTTGAATATTATCTGCGACTGGTACCGCCACAGACTGTAAAGATGAAGAAAACTGTGCATTACGTATACTTGTATCACATGTATACGTTGAAGGTCCAGCTGTTTCAATTGGATAAGATCTATAATATTTAGCACTGAATACACAGCAAGAAACACAGAGTACGATAACACAAAACGTAGCAAGGCCACCGACCCACATTTCACCCTCACGAATGATATCTGTTCGTTTAAATATTTTTTCAAATAATTTATAACTATATACAGCCTTTGGATTTTTGATACAGCATTTAATCACAAGCATTACACTTACAATGAGAGTTATAATAGCAGCAACGATCAAAGTCCAAAAGATTGGCGAAAGAGCAACACAGCGTGCAGATGAACCAATTGAGAACAGTGTGAAAAACAGAATATCATCAAGTCCGGCGATATCTGGGGATTTTGGATAGGCAGCTGCTTGGCTGATATTGTTGAGCTGATCATTCGAGATAGAATCACTTACAGAACCAAGTGGACAGAATGTATTCGTTGCACAATTGATACAGGTTGTTATTGTAAGATTGATTCCATCGGTTTTTGTTCCTGGTGGACAAAGTAAACAACGACGAATACCTGTTACATTCTTATATGTACCAGGCATACACGGTAGTTGTGAGGAGAATGCCGGCACAACTTCAACAGTCGGTCTAATTGTTGAGGGATAGTAACCACTAGGAGCTGAGAGAATGACGAAGACACCACCTTGTGCAGCAAGGAGAACTAAGTCTCTTGGAGTTGTAATGATATTGAGAAAAACAGAAGACATATAACTGTAAAGCGGCTGCTCACTGTTGGGAAAGATTGAGATTGGCTTCGAAGTACTCGCCAATGGACTGTCGTAGACATAGATTTTCGAAGAACTCCAAACATAACTTGTCGAATAGACGTTGGCAAGAATGGCAACACTATTGAGAGTGTCACTGAGCCAGGCAACACCTTTGCCGAAACCAATTCCTCGGCCATTGTCTATTGAGGCAACTAATGTCAGTGTCATCGTTGTGTAACTGAAGAGCAAAACCGTATTGATCAACTGGACTCCGACGAGAACTTGTGTAGCTGTTGGATTTATACTGATAGATATGTCAAATTTACGATAATTTTTATTAGCACCTGCATTTGTTTGTCCAGCCTGCCATGTTGTACCATTCATCGGATACTTCCATAATGTAATCGGTGTAACTGTGGCTGTCGATGCATCGATACTAAATAGAAGAACAATTGCGTTATACTTGATACCTATTAAAACACCAAAAGAGAACATAGAAGTTGAGAGAATAATATGTTTCTATGTTTTTATTGACTTCCTCTACATACGTGAATTTTGATCATTCTTGAGAAAGCCAGCAATAATACCGCGGCTACCATCGTAATCAACAGCATATGGTAGGAATGATGTTGAAGGAGAGAGTGAATTATTCTGATGAATGGTTAGATTATCCGTAGATGCTGTATAAGAAAATGTAAAGAGATCGGAGAAACCATAGGCAATCGAACCAAGAGAATCAGTTGTCATCACTAAGTGGTCTTGATGAGTAAAGGATCCGGGCACATATGTTTTGGCTAAAATGAAGTCAGTACAATTAATCGTATCAAGAGAGCCGTTGTAATTGATGAAACCGACAAATGTACGATTTGGCAGTTTCTCATCTTCCTCCAAACCAATCATTTCACCAACGAAGAAAAATCTATATGTTGATTGATTTTTACCCAGAGCGACAGCATAAACGTACCATGAAGGATCATCATATTCAAAAGAACAACCGCGCTCATCGTTTTTTGTTACATTATCAGTGTAAGGTGCGAATTGGATGTTAAACTCATCAAGATCATTTTGAGCTTCAACAATCATCAAATTATTAGCAGCTATTTTCAATCCATATGCATCATAATCATTAACATCAGGCGAAAAACTGCTGGCAGACAAGAGACATATGACGAGCGCAAGAATTAAGAGTAATTGAGGCAGAACAAACATTTCAATCTACTTGCAAGAAGAAAATGAAATAAAACTAGAGAAGAAATCACGCTTGATATAGTCTTTCATTTAAATAGAATGTTTTCTCTAAGAAAACTATCTGAAAATTATTTTTGAGAGTGAATACATTCTGTTCTGTGACATTGCACATTGCGGAATCAATTCTGCATCCGAAATCAATTCCACCCAATCTTAGCAACTTGATCGTCATTTAACATAAGAGGCCTAATCGACATTGATCGATTTACATCAATTTCCGGAAATTTCAAAATTGATCACAGATGAAACTACTTCTTTCCCGCGTTCTCATGCACAGTTATGTGGTCAAAGTTTAATCTTTAGAACAAGTAAGTAATGCTGGAATGGAATTCTTGAACATTGATGGAACTCGATTAATATCGATTAAACTTCTTATGTTGAATGATGAGTGAGTTCTCAAAAATGGGTGAAACTGATTTCGAGCACGCAACTGGTTTCGGAATGTTCAATGTTGCAGAATAGGATAACTGTTCTTCTGATAGTCATTACACCGTGGAGTCATTATGATAATTATTTTTGGTTGATTTCTTCTGTAAAAAAAATCGTTCTTCTATCTTTTTGTTCTTTTAACAGCCAACGTACACAGCAACCGTTTCTCTACCTCCCTCTCTATTTCAAGTGCAAAAATAACAACAACAACGTCAATCTCATTCTAATTTGGGCCATATTTTGTTCTTGCTGATTCATTCCACCTCAGTTTTCTTTCTCAGATTCGGTCTGTGATAAAATAAATCGATTCAGAGTTTACTCATTAAGATATATCTCACAAATTTCAATAATAGTTACATCTTACATAAATACTTAATCATATGGTAGTTTTGATGAACGTTCATATGATGTCACTGATACGGAAGATAATGTGATTATGTAATCTTTTATAACTTTTTGAATTGTATATTCTCTCGTTCGTTACCTTTTGAGTTACAACTAGAGGCCATAGGTGTCGGTGTAAGTGTTCAATTGAAACAAGAGATATACTCTCACACACACCCATAATAGTGAGATTAATTCATACCTAATGTTTTGGGCTTCGTTCTTCTATCAACTATAGAAAATAGAAAACTAATAAGCCTCACACACTTCTACAGTTTAACATGCTTTACAAGCTAATCATATATGAATTCGAAAAACCTGAACTTCAATTTTGGTCATGCTAGATCGTCGTTAGTCGTACAAACCGTTGACACATTCTGGGACAATCAATCGAACAGTTCCAATTGAAACTTGTACGAGTGATGCCTGGAACCGCGTGGCGGACATCTTATCCTATCGTTCAGATCGATCGAATCCCATCAGCAGAACTCATTGAGATTTCAATGTAGGAAATCGAGAGAAGGTGTGTGTGTGAGTATGGATATGGATGTGTAAATGCCTCTGTACTGCTCTCACACCCACACCCCGCTTAGTTTAGTTGAGGAGAACTGTTTGAACAGCTCTTTTGAACTGATATGAACTTTTAAAACAGTTCAGCTCACTTCATAGAACTGATCGAACAGCACATGATAAAATGTCTATAGGTTTTCAAGACCTATCCTTGGCGGATACAAAAACGTTGATTCTTGAATGTGAAAGCTGCTGAAAGCCATGATTTTGTTGTACGATATGTGCACTAATGTCGCTGACGTCAGAATCCGAAAAACCGGATTTGGCTGCGATTGATTGGATAAATGCAGGAAACCGCTGCATCTTGAAAGAGAACTCCGAAAATTGATGAGGCTTAGGAGCAGATTCTGATCGAAACAGCTCTAGACTTTTCTAGGCGACTACTGACCATTTCTCGCCCAAAAAAAAACTAGAACTTAATTGGAAACCATCAGAAAAAGCTGCTTCCGGGTTTCATAAATCTTCGGCGTTTTCCTTCGATATCGACCAGTACGCCTTCATCTGGATGTCGTCTTATGACAGAAACAATGAAGAAGTGTTTGAGCTGCTATTGGACCTATTTATAACTTGGCATGCTTAGCAGACTTTTATCCAGCCTCAGTGTGGAATTATGCCTAATAAGAACCTGTAATGTTATTGTAGAAATAGGCTGTTACGAAAACAGGACTGTCCTGATGTTTTGTCCAGTCCTTCAAGGCAGAGGAACTTTCTTTTGATGCTGCTCTGCTTGCCTAGTGAAGAAAACAATTGCCATGTAACTGTTTCTAGCGCGCAATGTTTCTATGACATACTCGGATCAACTGTAATATTCTTTGGAAGTGATATGAATAAAATGCGAATACTAATTTTCAAAAACGCTATACAGTTTTTATCGAGTTGTAAGATTTTCTAATATACAAGTTCAACTTATAAGTCCTCCCACAAGGGCAAGATTGGACAAGGCGAAAATAAGTACCCCATGAAGGCTTTTCACCGAAAATCTACATGAAGTACACCAAGTTTCAACACTCAGAGCCTATCAAGCTTTTCAACTGAATTCCAGTAGCTTTTGAATGGCGAATATTACCAGAATAAACAGCATTCATCGAAGATTCAAAGAGACTAATAGAATCCTATAGGAATCTTATCACTATCAACCGGTTGGATCCTTTAGTGATTATGTCACGACGATTCTCATCAGATTCATTCATTTCGATTGCATACTCACCAGCACAAACAATCTCTTTTTCTGTTCTTTCTAACTGGAGCAAGTGAAGTATAGCTAAATGGATGTATGATCGCTTACAAGAAATTTTTTCTGCTTCTACAAAAAACATTAAAATACAATTTTTGTAAAAAAAAAAGATTCAAGTGCACTTCATCATAAAATAAAGTAAAACTGGATAATGCTTCTCCTTCTCAGCTTCTCGATGTGCATTTGCTTCATCAAATACACTATACAGTACTATGAAATGTAAAAAAAAAAATATTTGTACACTCTGTAATACTTGTCTTGTGAAGTATATTTCACAAACAAAACAGACTGTTTTTTTTTTATTTTGATTATATCATTCGATAGGCTGAAATCTCTACTTTATTCTATAAAAAAGCTCCTTTCTTTTCAGAAGATTTTTGTTAAGTTTTAGAGGTTTTTCTTTATAAACTACTTCATTCCTACGCAAAAAGATTATTTGGATACTTAAGAGAGAATGCATGGGAACCTCGAGAATGGTCATAACATGATTTTTTCTAAAATCTTTTTTTTTCTTTCATTCGATTCTACGTGAAAAACTGGGCTGACGAAATTTTTTTTACACTTTTATACCCTTCCTCCGCGGAGTCCTAGGCATTTCAATTGAAGCCCCCTTTAAAATTACGCAAAAAAACGAAATTTCAGTATTTTTCATCTTGTGAAGTCATGTTACATCGTACAAGGTCGCGGAACATCTCATTCGAAAGAGGGTGTGGGTGCTGGTGTCAATAGAGATGTGTCTTCTCTTCATCCACCCACACCCACACACCCACACCCACATGTCACACCGACACCGAATACATAGACATATAATGCGAAATAAATGCTGGACAACTTCTGTGATAAAAAATATAGTAATCTATAGCGATGCGCTTCCATTATCTATCCCTTTGCATTATCCTGTGAGGAGACTTTGTAGCTCTACTAGGGGGATTCAACGTTCCATTCGTGAGTAGGTATGGGTGTGAGTGTTCTTCTAAACCCCAGAATCTCGCCCACTTCCATACCCACACTCACACCCACACCCGCACTCTCAAGACCGACCATGACGAACAAGTCGTAATTCGAAGTAAACGAAATGTGCACATCTGTTGAATCGATTTGAGTACAGCAAGAATGTAACACATGTCGGGTATATCGGAATATATCTTGATTTTATTGAAAAAAAAACGAATTTGCAAAAGAAATAAAAATTAGTCAAGTTCTTTTATACATAAGTGTCAAGACAATTTAGCAGTCCCTGCAAGCAACTTAACAGCCTCCGCCTCCGCACCCACCGCCTCCGCACCCACCACCACCTCCGCCGCCATCTCCACCCGATGAATATATGGCAATCGGTGCAACTATCATTGCACAGGAGCTAACATACTGTGATGTGCATAAGTTATCTTTGCCGATATTTTTACCATAATCTACCTTGTAAGTCATCTTCCACTGTTCAGCTGTTTTCTGATAAGCGTCGGCTAGAGTATCATTTTCTAGTGAGTCATCATGATCAAGAAGAAAGCCACATAGTGCTATCGACATCTTTTGATAAGATGATGGAAATCTCATATGTGTATGCCATATTAAATCAATATCAAATGTTGGTACAATGATTTCATCTTTTTTGGCCAATTTCAAAAATGAAACATAATTTTGTACCATTTGTTCAAACGAATTTCGATTCATTTGTCGCAAATTCATGGAAAAAAGATAATGTTACTTGAATTTTTCAAGAAAATCATGTTGACGAGGTACGGCGTTTACCAGATCGATCAAAGGAACAAACGTTGAAGGTTTTTTTATTGATTCAAACAAAGCAACTGAACGGTGTTTCCGATGTTGTTTTATTTTTAATCGTCGGTATCTTTTATCGACAACTTTACCGTTCGGCAATTGCTTAATACAGTCGTTGTTATAGGCAATTGGATGAAGACGATGAACATGCCAGATCCAGTCGATTTCCCATGAAAGTCTTGATTGTTTATGTCTAGTTGTAGTTGCTTGGTGAGCCATGCGTCTACAATAATCTTCGATAAAATAATTCAATGTTTCACCTTGCTGCGTCATTTCTGGATGCGCAATCACTCGACGTAGCAATATAATATGATCAACAAAATTACGATATGATAATGTAAATGTCGTTCCATCACTTGTACGAATATTTGCATCAAAATGTGGTATCGAGAATGAATGTGAATTACCCATGTCTTGTCAATGTTGTTGTTGAATAATTGTTACTGTTTTCTTTCCAAATGAGTTGCGTTTAAGACTACAACAGTTCAATATTCATGATTTCTGATGATACTATGGCCATGTAGAAACAAAATGGCATATGTTTTCGTGAAGTCTTCTGAATGACAACACTGGCTGAATTCCATGAATTCAGCAACGTTTTAGAGATAGACTGCAAGCTGAGGAATCAAAAATATTAAAAGACTCGCCTGCTGTTTACCCAAAGGAGAAATAGCTGATTTTTTTATTTTTTTTATCAATCTTAAATCAAAAACATCTATTTAATCAAGCTAATAAAAAAAATCACTAGTTCAAAAAGGTCTGGTTTTGAACGTTTTGTGCTTTGATTTTAAGTATTTTCTCATAATTCAGGCCTGTATGTAGAACTTGATTGCTAAAAGCAGACGATTCGTACATTTAAAGAATGAGATCTAACATAATAACTACAAAAAAGTGACGCTTTTGATTTTTCTAAAGTTTTTGATTACACTGACTTTTTTTAATTTATAGTCGACAGAAAATAAAAAACTAAAGTATTTGCCATCGATTTTTTTTAATCAAAAAAAAATCTTACTTCAACTACTTCCTTCTTGTACTTACCACTGCTACCGATGATATGCCTATCTGATGTTACATGCTTGCTTATTTATATTTTCGCCCGAAAAATCGAATTTCTCTTCCTTTTTTTTCTCTCCTATGCTCGATACTAATACACCTAAGTGTGCGACTTTCGTTGCCATACGCATATATGATGAGTCAAGAAATTTCCAACTATCGATTAAACAGCTACTGAACCGTGACTGCAATATAGTGAGTCATATCAACAGAGAGGAAGAGTCAAACTTCATGCACAAATGTACATTAGGAGAAAAATTTCGAAATGTGTCTGAATCTGAAGGTTAGGTGTGGATGTGGATTACGAGAAGGGTGTGGGTGTGGGTGTGGGTTTTATTTTTCGTTATATCTACCAACTCACACCCACACCCTCATTCTCGAAATTACTTGTGAAAATCGGGTTTCGGAAGGTTGCTAAAGGCTGACGTGCTTTTTAATGCTTTTGAAATCAAATGTAATTGTCATAGATGGATAGAGCTTGTTGAATTGCTCCGGATGAAGTGATTTTCAATGGTGGCACGCATTCTGGATCGAATAAATGCGGGGAAAACTAATTATTTTTATTTTGTCCCATAGTGAAAAATATTGTTTTTTCAATTATTTTTTTCTCTTTATTTTTCGTTGGAATATAATTATGCCATTCGATAGAGCTCGACGAGCTCTATCTAGCACACTCAGTTGTGTGAAGTGTCCCAAGAAAAACTCGAATCGGTCGCTAACTTTACTTACATATTGATAATATAAATAATTACAAAATGGGTAAAATATTATTAAACTGTAATAAATTAAACCGTAGAGAGAAACAGTTATTAAAGGTAGATAATGCAAAAAAAATCGTTTCCATGTATTTAATAACAATCGATTATGAAAAATAAGTATAATGTCTTTCAACAGTACACCAAGCAAAGATAATCGTTTTTGTTGGAAATATTCCAAAACTGAGAAATGAGCAAATTTGAGAAAACGGATATGTGCTTTGCTAAATACCATTAAGTCGATAGTAATGCATGATAAAAGGAATATTAGTGTATTCAAAAATCAAGTCAAGTAAGAGTAAAACTATAATTATATGATTATTTAATGATTCACGAAGATTTCGAATAAATAAAAGATAATATAGAATGAATAAACAACACTGGATTGATAATATATTGTAGATAAGAAAAAGCCAAAACCGAACAGGATAAGGAACAGCAAGTTCCACAGAGACAGAAGATGCTTCGCTATTGAAAGTATTGTTCGTGTTTGCCATTACAGGAGGTATAAAAGTTACGTAGAAGCAAATATTTTTGAAGACGTTTTACATATTGAAATACCACTAGTTAGTTTTTGCGTAAATAATTCAATTTAAAAAAATATTAGTGTTCTTTTTCTTGTGATCAAAAACATTGTTATGTTTGATCCACTTCTCACTTTATGAATTTAAGTCTTTGTTAATCAAGAGAAGATATTCATATTTCGAATGTATGTTAATCTAGAGAAATATCCATGTTTTTCCGTTGAAAATAAATCAAAAGATTAGTTAAACCTAAATTATGATTTGACATCATTTATACGGTAATACATAGAATTTTTTTTTTAAAGTTTCAAGATTGAGAAGTGAACTCTTTTAATGTCATCCTTATTCTTTTGAAATTTATTTACAAAAATGTAGTTCTCAATAGAATATCCTAAAATCCTCATCAGACGTAAAACGATAACTTTTGTCTTCTATGATTCAGTTGGTAAATTATAACCAACACTTTCATGATCATTGTGAATAAGAAAAAGAAAAGGGATTTATGAGATTTGAAATGTAATAAACTTTTAATATCAATATTTGTTCATGTAGGAACTATTCAACTAAAGATTTAACAATCGTATCAAACGTGAAAGCTGGAGTCAATTATTCCTCAGTAGAGAGATGCCCTTTGTGTACATATGTCTACGCACCCTCACCCAGAGAGATAATAAAAGAATACTTGAATATTTGAATTCAAATTTTACGTTTGACCCATATATGAATGATATAGATATGCTCGTAGTCAAGCATAGTAAATTTTTGTTACAGATCAAGGACTTAATATTAATGCTCGTTTGTAAATTATAGAGGATACAATTTGCATCATCTGTCGTGAGATACTTTCAATCGCTTACGTGATTCTTTGATATATAAAGGGTGTGCCATAAAAACTGACGATGAATTGTTAATGATATTTTTTATACATTTTATTGACGGATAAAGCTGAAAATTTGTACCACATATATATCTAATAAAGATCTTTAGTTTGTGAAAGTTTTAGCTGTCTATCTAAAACTAGTGATGGAATTCATCGATTAGATTAAAATACATAAATTTTTGTACTAGATCTGTGGAATATTTTCACAACACCGGCAACAATGATTGAGTTATAGCGACAAACTATAGAAATAATTTCAGCATCATTTTTGAAAGTAACGTTTCTGTTGCTACTTCATATCTCTAGCATATGAAGAGAACAAAAGCATCAGTGAATGATATTACCATCTGATCAAACATGACTAAGATTTGATTATAAAGATAGAGAGGTGCATCTAAGTGTAGAATTCGTTAGATTTAACGATGAATTGGGTGTGGGGTGTACTCACACCCATACCATCGGCTGATTTTCATCTGAGAAAGATACCAACCTAGGATAACATTCGATGATCTTTATATATATAAGACTGAAGTGGAGAGCCAGAATAATAACCAGAAACTTTTATGTAAAATAACAAAATTTCTAATTCATAAACGTAATGAAATATAGAGACGATGAGGATGATCAGATAGAAGCAAATAAAAAAAAACAGCACAGAAAAAATAAATAATGATTGCTGAAATAAGAGAAATGTCAAATCGTCGTCGTCTATTATCTTGTTTCGAATACTTTATTCTCTTTAATAAATTTGATGACGTCTTCGCTTCTATTATTTAAAATCAATTGTGATTTTAATCGATTTGCACCACTAGCTTTACTTTTCTTTAAACGATATTCTCTTGTACCCGTTGTCAATGTGTTATATTTTAACCATAGTAAAATTGGTGGTGATATATTCTGATTAGTACGATAACGCTTATATTCTTTATTAGATTCTTGTAATTTTTGATCAAATTTTAAACATAATTCTTTACCAATTTGTTGTAGTCGATCTTCATTCTCTTTTTTGTCATCGTCTACTTCAATAGCTAGAACGTAAGATAATTTATCAATGAAAACCGTATATTCTGATGTGGAAGAAGTGAATTCTTCTGTGTATTCCAATAAGATTGAATCGATTATTTCACGTAATTCCATTTCAGTAACATGTTCAGTTATAATTGATAAATATTGACCACGTCTAAATAGAAAACATACAATTTGCATTCTTGTTACAGTTTCTCGCTCAGGATAACATTGTTATCAAATATTATTGATAGTAAGTTTCAAAAAATCAAACAAACCTGCCAACGAGCTTCCATACTGGTAATGTATAATAATGTCCTGTTACTTTGATAATATCTTCTGTTCTATATCGATATAAACCATCGTAAGTTGTTAATACAACTTCATATAATTTTCCTTCTATAACATAGAAATAGAAAAATGATTCAGTTAAAAGTAGAAACTCTTATTTTTACCATCAATTTGACCTAACTCTAATGATTCTGGTGATTGATCATCATCGTCATCATCATTTTCGACTTCAATGAATTCATAATAAACTGATCGTGGTAATGGTATTAATTGATATGAATTTGTTGTTAATGGTACTGCAATACGATAATGTTCACTCATACCATAAGCAAAAGGAAAGATTGGTACGACAGGATCCCAATATGTTGATAGGAATTTTAATTCAAATTGTTTCAAATTTTGACTTAGTACACATATTCCACATTTTAAATTAGGCCATAGACGTGTACTAATATGATGAAAGCCATTTTTACTAACAATTTCCGTTAATTCTTCTGCACGACTAGGATTTGGTTTTAAACGATACTCTGATGATTGTAGAGCAAGACGTACATCAATTGGTAATGGCGATGATAATGATTCATCTGTTGGTATTGTACCCTAGAAGAACAAGTGAAACAAATGAATTTGACGAGAGAACAATTGCAAGTATGTCTCGATCTTTTCTACTTCATATCTTTAGTGATACCTCGCATAACGTAGTATACATGTTTTGTTATATAATTAGTATTAATACAAACCGTTTCAATATGTTTACAAATAAAATCGAATTTATTTTCCATAAACGTAAAAAAGTTGACTAATACCATTATAAATACTGATGATATCACTTCTAATTCTTTACATTGTAATGCCCATAACAATATAAATAAAAACATATCATTTGAATCTATTATTTTATTG